AAAAGCAAATATTAAAAAACATATAAACATCAATTTTTGTGTGTCACGTGGTATATTTGATGCAGCACTGGTTCAAATTAGGTGTTTGTGAAGTCAAAATACTAAGACTATAGTTTCATACGAATTAGAAACTCAATTTTACGATATTGACAAGCTAAAATATAAAATAAGAGCCTCTTATGTTTTCAATTTGCTAAGATATATCTCATGTTATAAATCAAACACAGTGACACCCTGCCCACCCCTTTCCATTTTTGGGAACGCTCCCTTATATACACTTACTCTTATATATGACATGAATAACCATTCGTAAACTCAGAATGTCTCCCTAGTGACTTTCTCAGCCATTTGAACCAATATTTCAACGAGGTAGGGTGTGACTTTAGTCTGCTTGAAATTTCATATTTTTTTAGACTAAAATACATCTTAGTTACTAAGCTTGATGAATTATAGGGGAATTCTATGGTATTAATGTAGTAATTTATGATTTTTTAGTTATTCAAAAGAACATGTAACACCTAAATAAAATATATTTTTTTTCATATCGTCCTCATGCAAATTTTTTAAAGGCTTAGTAATGAAGTACAAAGATTGTAACTAGAAGAGATAATTGTTTGCTTTACTTCTTTAATTACTGTTCTACGTTTTAAGAAAACTAAGTTTAAGAACTTATTTCAAAATAGTAATAATCTGTATACTTATATGATGTATAATAATTGAAATGTGACTATTTCACAAAATACTAGTCTACTAAAACAAAGCCAAGACAAGTTACTTTGCACAGACCAGAGGTCAGTTTTATGTTATTTGATACGGTAACATGAGTGTACATGAGCCACGTCATTGTAACTTCTGTATTGTTAGCCAGGCATGGCTGAAAGGTCAATATAATAAAAAATAATAAATATATATAAATGTATAATGTTATGAGATTTAAGCTTTTTAGACTAAACATTTGTGTTTTAGTGTTATAATCATGTTATAGTCACTCTAGAATGAAAAAAGTATAATTTATATTTATTTCCTAATTTTTTATGGTGGTTACATGGTCGATCAAATTGACCCAACCTGTACAGAGATACAGTAGTGAATATAACAGATAGAATATAAACTTTTTTCTTAAACATTTGATAACTATTTGGACATTAAAAAGATTTCGCATGTGAAATTTTAAAATTTTCTGATGCATAAAAGTATTTTTAATCTTAAGTGAATACTTCTTTGCATGATAGATAGGCAAAATTTGAAAAGAAATAAAAGACGTGAAAAACATTGCTTTACAAACCTTAAGACTTAATAAAAAAAAATGATATTTTGCATATGAAAGCATTGTAATGTTTACTGATAATCTGCCAAATTTGATTAACATTTGCTTACTAACTTAAAAGTTATAGCATAAAAACCATAACAAGCACAAAATGGTTACAAGGTTGTCACATTGACCGACCCCATATTGGAAGAGTTAAGAGATTTTAAAAATTACACAAATAAGAAGAATTAACATAAATTGTATTAGACTCTGACAACAACTTAGGTTATCTCTTTAATTAAATGTTATTAGAACCAGATATAATCTATACATTTATCTTTTAAATTAAGAACAGATTATCTACAGGGAGTTCATAAAGCAACTGCACTAAATGAAAATTTTGTATTCCTAGAACAGCATGATAGGCTGCTATTAAATTAAGAAAATGACTCAAGACACATGGAATTTCTTTAAGTGTTGTGTGATAGGTGGCAATACTGTTGAAAATGTGAATAGATATGCATGTTGTCATAGGGTAAAAAGTAATTAGCTTGCTTATTAATTGCACAATGTGTAGCTTTTCTTACTTGTTATTTCATGGATGGATGCAATGTGATTCATGCAATGCATTCACAAAGAGTAGACTATGCTCTCCTAACCACAGCTGTTAATGATTCTTAAAAAAAATCACTTGGAGAAGTTGACAATGGACACTTCAAACACCTACCACAATTTTACACTGTCTTCAAAGGTTGTTCTCTGAACACCTTCCACAATTTTACACCCTATCTTTAAAGTTTTGTTGATGGCAATATGCAAGTTTATTCATATTTTCAACTACAGCACCATTTATCCATAAACAGGTACCAAGAATCTTCCACTGTGTTTTTACCTTATCTGACCATCATTGGTGCTTTTCACCAACCTAGTTTCAATGAAGCTGTACATAGCAATTAATAGTTTTGTTTTGAGTCTACTTTCTGATTATAAGTATTATTTTATTACAATTTGCAGATTTTATACTAAGGAAGAATATTTTTAAAAAAGGTACAATGTTTCTAACACTAGTGTGATCATTCTCAAGTACACAAGTTTTAAAGAGAAAACCTTCTTTACTGTACATTGTAACAGACAATTACACACTACTTAGTCGTGCAGCCAATTCAAATAGACATTTCATATCAGATTTCATTTTTATAGCCTTCTAACTCCAGTTAGACCTTTTCAGAGTATACTGAAAACCATTTATCACAACCAGACAGCTTTTTGTAAAGACACAATCAAGTTACAAGAACAACACAAATGGATTACTATCATCTTTGCACATACCATGCTGTGTTATTGACTATTACAAGAAATTATTTGAATTTTCTTTTCATTTATTTTTTATTATCTAACCTGATAAGTTTCTAATTTAGGAGGTTTATATTGTATATCTTAAGCTGTCAGTATCTATAGTTTGAATTTCTAATTGGATGACCTCTTTTGACAGCCCTAGAAGGAGGAGAAGAAAATCGAAAATAATAGAATTAGAGGGGAAATTCATCATGTAAAGATTAAGAATTTATTTAAATATTTCCTTTAGAACTTAACAAATTAGAACTTAGTTTGTAATTCAGAGTTTATATTATCTATGTTTTTATATCAAGTTTATAGACAAAAATTGATAATAAGTTTAATTTTGAATGTAACTAAAAAAGTTGTGACATGTGCACTTTGACTTCCTCACATGCACACACATATGATAAGTTATTATCTCAAATTTCACATCAAACCTTTCTAAAGATATACCATTTGCATCTCTATTTGCATTAAACCAGACAATAAGTCTAGGTTTAACTTAACTAGTTTATATTAAACCCAGATAGCAACTCGGTTTTACATGTTCAATCCTCTCGCTACAGGCATACTTCTCTGAACATTTCATGAGGTTTTACTGAGTTACATTCAAAATTTAATTAAACATCTTTCTTATCATAGTATATGATTAACTTGGCATAAAAACGTAGCTAATAACCCAAATGTTAATATTATGTAAGTTTTAAGTTCTTAATTTTATAAGGGAAAATTTTTTACAAAACCCTGAATTTCCCCTAGTATGAAAATTGTGACATTTGCTCTCTAGGTATCCACTATTCTCTGATTTATTTACCACCCCTCCAAGAAGTATGAAATTTAACATAAATTACTCAGTATGATGTCATTGCTTAGACAAAGCATTCTTTTTATAGCCTTCAATCTTATTTGGCTACAAAGTTATAAAATAGAAAATCAGACCCCTCTTGCCAAGCCCACCTGTCACATACTCTTATTCAGAATTTACCAATAGTTCTCTCTGATATTTGATACTATATTATTTATAACCAATAGAAATCCAAGGTTTTAATCTATCAAATGATTTATTATGTTGTTTGCTGACAGAAAACTGTCTATTTTGCTTCCAGTTAAAAATTCAGCTTAGCTAATCATTGTGTTTCCTGTGGGAACAAATTTTGAACAGCTCTTGTTACATAGTTAGAAAGCCAGAAAAAGTTGTGATAGTTATAGGACATTGTCTGCTTTTTGCATGTTATTATTCTGTGTTCTTTGGTGCATTATTTAACTAAATAAAAAAAATTAGTGCAATAGTACCATTAGTATTAAAAACAAGAAGAATGGTTAAGTTTCTTCGACAGTTGACAGCAAAAAAAGACTCAGGTAAGCACTGAATTTCTTGTTTTTCATGTGTATTCTTTATTTAATATTATAAAATTAACTAAAATGTAAAAATTAGAAACTTATTAAGTTAGATTAGGTAAAATAGAGAATAATAATAATATACGTTTGTCATGAGGTATGCTCACAAGCAACTCACAAGTGGTTCATGCATTACATAATTCAATAGGGTAATGTGAGCTACACGTTCAAATGACTTACAATTTGTGTGGTGGGAATATTAGTTAAATACAGTTCAAAGAGCAATAAAACAATAAAATTTAAGTACAAACAGATATATACTGTTATGAGTTTAAATCCATATAGGATAAACAAATATAGTTTTATGTTAAAATTTGAGAAGTCATTCCAGAAAGATAAAAGGGTGATTAAGATTTATTTAACTTTTAGGTGGTTATGAGGTTGGTCAAGTTGATCAACCTAGTATAGGGTTAGGGTAGAGAAAATAACAGATAACATAAAGTTTTACTGAACAAAAACGTTTGAAATTTATTTAGGACATTTTAGACATTGTGCAAATGAAATTTGAGATTTTTCAGATGAAGAAAAGTATTTTTAACCTCAGTATAAAAATCACTTTGCACTCAGGACAGTCGACACTTTGATTCTATATATTTATAGAAAAATTGTTAATGAAAATACTTCATTAAAAATTCTATTTTTTTTGTCTACAAGTGACTCTTAATGATTACTGAAATTACTGAAGATACACAAAGCATATTAGAAGTTATAGTATGGAAACTCCAAAGGTCAATTTTTAGGTCGAATCAACTGAATCTATAGTGAGAGTTAAACAAGATATCTGTTAGATCCAGATATTGATTGAGTTGCATTTTGTAAATTAACCCATTTTATTATTATTATTATTAATAGTAGTAGTAGTAAACCCAACATTACCTTTTGTTTTAATTCATATTTCTAATTGGTAAATGAACTCATCACAATTTAGTGACAATCTGTTTGACTCAGCCTGTTACCAGATGTTAACCATTTGACTTAAATATACAATTTATTGCAGGTGTACTATAGATAGTCTATTAAAATTAGCTTCCAAACATTGGTTTAACCATCTGATTTAAGTGATGGTCCTTTAAATATAACTTTTAATTGCAGAGCTGGCCATCTAACTTGAGTAATTATTTAAAAAAAAAGGCCTATTCAATCTACCTTGTAATCTTAGAGTTAACAATTTAACCTGATATATAGTATTATTGCACATATGATACTGGTGGCCTATTTGACCTAGCCATATTAACTGTTTAGCATGACTTTCTAAACAATTTTTCATGACACTGACTTTCTTACAAACACTGTTATCCATAGAACTGATCACTTGAGGTAATAAATGACTGGGAATAGGTTAGAAACAGTCAATTTGATGAACTTAGTAGTTTGAATAAAAATATGGACAGAGTATATAGCTTTGATGAATATTCTAATGCTTTAAAGTTAATAGGTTGGACTCATAAACTGGCAAAGCCCTGAAACCCAATTAGCCTAATATTTGTCATGGAAAAAAAAATATGATAGACTGTAGGTGTATATTTCTACATTAATCTTAATTTCTTCATTTAGAATTTCAAATCAAGCGTGAGTGTGTAAATATTGCCTTTGAGACCTATAATATGTCTACTACATGTCATTGCTCAGAAAGTGAATTTGTCAGTTTCACTGGACTATTTGAAATCCATAATGAACAAATCAAAAGGAAAAAGCATCTGCAGTTTGGCATGATATTTGTTATAGATATTAGCCCTATAGTAAACTTTGTTTAATATGTAATACTTGGAAGATCTTATCTCCCAAAGAATGAAATTAAACATTGTAAACTAAGAAAGTTTATTCAATCCATTGTTATTTTAAGTTGTTGCTAGTGACTTTTGTTATGCTTTGGAATTATTGTTAGTTCAAGTCAATAAAACAAATGGGAACTTCTTATTTCACTATTTTTTGAATCTTGAACTTTTTAAAATTTTGCATTGAGGTTTTATCTCTTGTAAAATTTTATACTGAAATATTTTCTTTAGAGTTTTGCATATCAGTAGAAAAAGTTGTAATTATTATTGAATATTTATCATTCTCTGCTTTCACATCATTTTTGGTTTGATTTAAGTCTTCTTATGATATAAAAATTTTAGACGTAATGTATTATTTCAGTTTTACTATTAAAAACATTTATTTTGTAGCTTTAATGCATTTACTAGATCAAGAATGTTTGTTAAAGTTTTTGAATGTCATTTTTTAGTCTACCACACAAAGTGCATTGATCCCTGGCTAACCAACAACCGTCGAACCTGCCCAGTGTGTAAGCGTAAAGTTATCTTGGAAGGTCATCAATCAGAAACTGATAGTGACTCAGATCAGGAATCAACAGGAGAGACCACCCCTTTATTGCGCACTCCAAACAGACGAAGCAATACCGTAAGTGTGGGAGGCACCTTCTTTAATATCATAACAGCTTCTGTACACACTAGGCCAAGACCAACTCATAATGAAGAAACCACACAGACCACACCTGTTCCTCCAGAAGTGACACAAGATCATCCAGGTACTTTCCAGACTACCCAAGCAGAGCTGCATCATTCCATAGAAGATAGAGGGGTTTCAGATGTTGTAATGGAACCAGCCACACTTCATTCTGTCAATGGAGATGAACCAGAGCATCCAACTATTGGAGATCATGTTGTACTGCAAAACACAGGAGCAGAATCTAGTCAACAGCTTGAGCAGGTGGTGTGAATGCATTACCTTGGTTGAGAGGACCTGGTAATTATGTTTAACCTAAATATTGGAAGGGTATTTGGCTTCTTTGCTGTTTCTTGTGTGGATTGTTAAAAGGATAATATTACAATAAGTTCAACTATACTCAAGAGGGATTTAAAAAAAAAAAGGTATAAGCTGTGTGGTATTCAATGAAGAACTGACTGTGTGGGATTGCAGTACTATGCTTCAAATATCTAAATGTTTTGTAGTCCTTATAAGTACATACATCTTGTGGTTTTCTTTAAAGTGATGCTATGAAATATATATATATACACATATATATAGATAGATATAAATCCCCTCACCTCAATTTTGTGTATATGTTAATAAATTTAAGGAGTCAAACAAATTTTTATAGTTCTGTGTAACCACAAAGTTATATATATGCTGTTTAACAAGATACAATTATCTTACTGGAAAACAGCTGTTGAAAGTGACAAAATTGGAAGTACACATGTTGTATATTTATGGAATTATATCAGCTTTTTTGTATTGTTTTTTTGTATTTGGAATAAATTCACTAGGAAGATTGTTTAAACAAAGTATTGTATTTACAGCTAGTTTTTTGTAATTGTATTCTTGTACATAAATAAATGTAAACTAAATATGGTAAATGAAAGTGCTTGAGAAAAAACTGGATATAATTATAAGCATTACAATGTTAAAAGTTGACAATAATTTATTAAAAAGGACACCAGATTCATTAGATATTCTTACGTATTTCAGTTGTCTGTAGTACCTCTTTATCATCATAAGTCTTGAGTTAACAGTGAGAGAGAGAGAGAGAGAAGCTCATATACCTCCACACAGATGTAGAAACAATTCAGCATAAATTATCATACTGTAAATTATTGAGCACTTTTAACATTGTGATGGTTTTAGTTTGTTTAAATGTAAACTAACTGAAAGACATGATTTTACTTTTATCATTGGAGTGATAGTTGAATATGTGGACCTTGTACTACCTTGAAGTTAGCTGTGACTTGGCTATGTATAAGGAAGCACAGAGTTTCATCTTTGTTAAGAAAAAAATATTTCTAGCACTACTGTCAAATTTCATTTGTACATGTACAAAAAATATTTGTATAAAATTTATTATCAATTTTATGTTTATGACACATGAAATCACAGAATGGCTTTTCACTATTGGATGTCTTTAGAGGATGTTACTTAGATTTTATAAAAATACTATACTTTCCCAAGTTGTATTAATAGCAGGGGAAAGGACTAAAAAACAAATTTGTATTTTGTATAAGAAATATTTTTTCTTTTTCAAGTTTTACTAATGGTACATCTCGTAATCAAATTTTTATAGAGCTGGTTACAGTTTAGACATTGTGATCTCAAGTTCCACCCTAGTAACTTGTTTTTTGATTTGGTTTGTTGCTGATGTTTTACTCTGCATATCTATTATCTATAATTTGCTGAAGCAGGATTGCTAATGCAACCTTCAAATGAACTTGTACTTCTTTCAAAATAAAGCATTATTGTATTTTTAGTTATTGCTATATTCATAGTTTTTTCAAAAACCATACAAAACAATGAAACAAAATACGTTTTAACGTTGTCTTAGAGTGGTTTCCTGCCATGGTAAATCTGATCAAAAATATAATTTAATTACAGTTTGAATATCATGAGAGAACTTTTAAATAGAATTTTGTAACATTTGATATTTAAACCACACTTTTCATGTTTGTAGTGTAACTTCAGCAAGATATTTGTATATATGGAACTTAAACAACTGCATACAGTAACAATTGGTTTAAGATGAATCCTAATGTTTACCATATGTATGTTTCACTCAACTTTTATATAAATAATTATGAAAGTTTCTGAAATTTGATTAGTTTCTCATATTTTCTTACAAAATCATTACTAAAGGTTAATACTATTGAATATTGACTAGCATGCATTTGTTCATTCTCTTAAAACTAGGTTGAATCAGGATATTATGTTTCAAATATGTTCTGAGATTTTCTGTCAAAAGCATATGCAAATTGTACGTCACAGAAAAGACAAAATTTTGCTTTATTTTAAACAAGGCTACAAAGGTGTATAATTCCAATAATGTCAGTGTAATTTCTAAAAAACTAATTTATGTTTGTCAAAAATCTGACTGACAGGAATCTGGTAAAAACACTTATTATACTGGAGAATGGAAAGAAATTCATACACTAACACTAAAGAAAGTCTGAAATAACTTGAAAAACAGAGCCCATTTCAACTGTGACTTACCAGGGCAGTGAATGAGAGTTAGTCTATATCCTGTCACAAAATGGGAACAGTGGACATAATAAATCTAACTCTTAGCTAATGCCATGGCAAAAAAAGGGGTGATGACTACAACTGAGCTGTTTTTGTTGTTCTTTTTTAAATTAGTGTGCTTGGGCTGGTTCTGGCCACCAACTCATGTAGGCCAGCAGTCACTTTGCACCTAGGAGATTTGTGGCTGGTTTAGACAACCATAGACTTAGAATTACATGGTATTCACAGGTAACAGAGGTTAGCAGTTACATGTGGAAAGTAGAGCAGCTAGGTTCTTACTCAACCTTTAGCCATTTAACATAAACTTCGTTCTGGCAAATAGAGACCAATTTTGATTGAGGTATTGACGTTTTAGTGATGGACCTACTGCAGAAGTTGTCAGTTTTGCTTGTGCAACAGGAAAAAACACTGACAAGATTGAACCTGAGAACAGTGGACTACACATATGTATGTGGAGTAAAAGGTTGTTGTGTCTTTAAACATGTAAGCACTATTCTGTGAAGTATTATGGACACAGACTAGCGCATTGTTGCTATCTACTGCAATATAAAACCAATATACGAAAACACTTTTTCCTTCCAGAAATTAGGCTGCATAACTTGAGTCATGCCAGTGCTGGTCTGTAATTATGGACATTCTACTTTTCAGCTTCCATGTTTTGTGATATACTGTCAATGGTTTGTGGCCAATTTCTGCAAGATAGCCTCATCATTGTCTTCACTAACTAAGACTGATATACATCTTGAATAACTATATGAATGCTAACAAGAATTCCAGTCCCTAAAGTTTGCTTAGTTTGAAACACCAGTGTTTGATTGTCCTCGTACAGCTTGTTCGTTTATCCTGGATATTAATGTCAGTAATAGTGAGACTGGAGTGGTATTTGCACAGATGGGGGGTGGAATATAGAATGTAATTGCTTATGTAAGCCATACACTAACAGCTCCTGAATGCCAATATAGTATTTGTAAAATATTACAGCAACTACTTGTAAATAGATACCACCCAAATGACTGATCACAAGCTTCAGGAAGCATAACTGAAAGACCCAACTTTACCTTTGATGCTGCTTTTCACATAGCAAGATGAAACATGACTTTTCCAAATAGTAAAGTATAGCACCGATGCACGTAACATCTGATATTTGTTTAATTAGTTGTTAGTACGGAATGTTGTACCGCCAAGCCATGCTAGCCTACCTGCAACACAACTAGTGCATTCCAGAACTCCAAAGCAGAAAATACTTCAACTTTACATAATGCAAGATCTGTACAATTCCAGAATGTCATGTACCATAGTGAATATGAAAAACCAGTCTTTCTGGCCATATACACATAAAGACATTGAGAGGTGGTATAGACATTATTCTACATGTGCTGCCCAAATATAAAAAAAAAAAACAGTCACTTCAGAGAAAAAATGTGTGGTAGAGGATATAGCCAGTTCTTTTTACAAAAGTGAGTAAGGTAATCAATAAGTGCTGTTCATTATTTATTACCAATTGGGCTGAAACTAATCTGATGGTCAGCACTGTAGCATAGTCTGTAACTTTTACGTTTGATGAACAATGACTAACACAAATCACTCAAAATGATCATCTATTGTACGTCATGAAGAGAAACCACGGAAGAGAAAAAATTGTGTGAATATCCAACGTTTATAGTCAAACCAAGGCCCTAGTGCAATATCCATTAATTCTTAGATTATGTACCTTAAATGTTGTTCTATATATACAGTCCAAACCATTACAAACCAGTTTTTATAGGTTTCTTTATTAAATGCTTGAATATGCTAAATTCTCAGAATGTCCTTACGAAAAAATATACACACTAGTTTGATAACTCATGAACAAAGGTGTCAGTATGTAACCTTCCCTTAAGGTGGACAAGAAGAAAAGCATACTAGACACGAGTCAAGGCAAATCTGAATATTCAAGTTTTGCTTGACAGTATATCAAATCAACTCTTAAGAGTGCCTAGTCATTCACTTTAATAGGCAATCCCCATTAATAAAACAGAGAATCCAGAGCCTTGGACGTCTTTACCTTTACATGTAACTAACATACTAAAAGCTCATTAAGACTAGCATATTAAATTATCCAGCAGTAAAAGATCAGCTAGGTGTGAAGATAGGCATGTTTGTGGACGAACTTTAAACAATATGTGACTGTCGTAAGGAAGAGATTAGCTCTTAAAACTTCTAAAAGTGAGTGAGTAAAAAATGCATAATTACCCGTATATTAAGTTACAGGGTGATTTAATTTATGATATATCCATAAGACACAGATCCCAATTTAGATTTTTCTTATAAGGCTGCACCTTCTGAATTTTATTAAGTGTAACTGTTGTATTTTTTTCTCACGAGGAGCATGAGAATCATTGAAGAGGAGTACATAGTTTTGAACACACACACTTGTAACACATATATAGATGAATCGTAAGTTAATAATATGATATGTTTAAATTGGAATCCCTATATAGCTGTAATAGTTTTAAAGATGTGAGATCATTGGGAAATCACTTGAAGGTACATTCTGTTTCTCACACCTTTTATAGAGCCACTAATCGTCCATCAGATATATATACCATCTATTAGAAAATATGTAAAGGTTGTCAATTTTTGTGTTTCTGCGGTTAAGTGTAAAACTGCACAATGGATTCTATGTGCTATGCCCACCACTGAGCTCAAATCGCAGTCATTGTTTCAGTGGCTACTAATGAATACCAGTAATACTTTTCTATATGGATATAAATGAATTTTTCATTTTAAAAGTTTGCATCAATATGTATTACTCTAAAGTTATGTTTACCGTTGTGAAAAAAAGCATTATATGAAAACAATACATAAATGATTAATTTCATACATAGATGATTATGTGTGTTGCCTTCCCATCGCATTAATATAGAATTTTCAAATCAATTTGATTTCCACATAACATGTGCAGCAAGATAGGCAAGGTCGTTGGTTTAGACTAATGGCTCAGCAAGTTCAGAAGAACCAATTACAATCAGTGATGCTGCTGATACAGCTCTGGAAAACACACGATTCCCAAGTCAGGCCTGGCCACCAGTTTGGGTGAGTGCAGCTGACACCTTGTGCTGAAAGGTTTGGTGGTCAACTAAGCTCTTTTGGATTTTGTTGGAACTTGGTGTGTACCTGTAAGGTTACAAGAGAGAGAGAGAGGGAGATCAAGTTCATTGTTAATACAGAATCAAACAGAACACTGGTAAATCTTGCAGTATGTACAGACCTTCCAAACAAAGCCGCCAGTCTGTCCAGTGGAGAGGCAAGCCTCAAGCTATGCTTAGATAATTGATCACAGTACGAAGATAGCCATCTCTAACCTCTCTTCTGCCATTGATATTCTCTGGATGGATATACTATGAACTACCAGTCAGTTTTTGCTTATGCAACCAGTGAACTGATATTCCATAGGAGAGTTATCTGATATCAACCAGACCAGGCCCAGGACTGTGCGAGTGTATGTGTCAGAGAAAATCATAGTATCTCCGTATAAACAAGTGTTCTATGGTTTACAACAGATGAGACTTAGTATGTTGGTGCTATGCAACAACGTTACAGAGTTCATACATGAAATACAGTCTTTCTTGTACACAAAGCAAGCAGCATTAGCTCAGGCAGTTATTGGTCTGAGAATGGATGAAGACACAGTGTTGGTCTAGAATTATGGGTGATAAGTTATCCTACTTCCCACTAAAAAGTCATCAGTACAGTCAGCAAAGTGAAAGTAGCTGAGGCTAGCAGTAATGTTAGATTACATCTGTTGTGTCACATCTGAAAATGAATACAAGTTGTCACTGCATCTCTAGTTGCTAGTAGAGGATTTTTGCAAACAGTCAAGACTTTGTGCAGCAGTTGCAACTCAGTGATCTGTAGGTTGAATATGCTGACGCATTCGTAGGCTGATTGGATCAAATGACATTAACTCATATTCAAACAGATACAGTCAACACATGTCCAATCAAACAATTGCCACATCAGCTTCCCTGGGATGTAGCTTGTGCTGTATAATACGGTCGTAGTTTCCACACATGAAATGCACCTTTTCTTATTCAGAAAGCAAGAAGCATTAGTATGGCAATTACCTTCTGAGGATAGATGAAGTCCTAGTGTGGTTCTGCAGTTATGGGTGATCAATTGTCCAGTTTCCTGCTGGAATGATCATTGGTATGGTAAGCAAAGTGGAAGTAACCAAGGCTAGTGGTCACACTA